GCACATCTGAACCAGAGCTCCCATAGCCATCGATGCAGTATCCTTATCACGTAACTGATGCCTGGCACGTCTCAGCCCATCAACCGCAGTCCTGAATGGAAGGGACCTTCATCTCCATGTAAGGTGATCATCACTTTGAAACCTTAAGTGATCTCGAATTTCCTAACGGCTTCAATGACAATACTGCAGGGAAAAGTAATACATAGTGCTACTGATTCATTTCCGGGCTGCCAAAAGAAGATATCATCCCACATACCTGAGTACACTGGTGGGTTCCTGTTTAGTGAGTCCCAGTGCTATTTCCAAGGACCAGGGGAAGAGAAAGGTCACTATGGCCACATGGTATCAGCTGGCTAGTCTTCCTTCTTCCTGGAGTGGGGAGGAGGCTTGGACACGACCCAGAGATTCTGAGGGGCCTGCACAGGAAGAGAGATGTTCATTGCCCCTAAAATGATGTTCTAGAACTTTAGTGTGACATCATCACCTTCACAGAGCCTGAATTTCAAAGTGAAAAGTATTACAGGAGGCGTTTTCCTTTCTTCCAACAACATAATTCTTTTCACACTGAGTTTCTTCAAGTATGAAAGAATATTTCAAGGTAACTATGTCCTGGCAGAATCCTAATCTATATTAGGAAGTCTGGACAGGCTTTCAAAACTCTCGTCATCTGAAAACCTCCAGGGGATTATTGTGAAACGAGTCTCAGGGGCTCCAGATTTATTTAAAGTGAAAATAACGCCGGATAAAATACGGACTAATAACAAAAATAACAGTAAGAGTAATTATAAGGTACTGAAAGTCAACAAGAGATAACATGAATATATTCTTACAAAAAATGTAAAATTCCAAAATTGGCAAATAAATTGAACACTTAAAATAGCAAAAAACCACTACAAAAATAGAAAGGGAAATAATCAGAGAATTTCCCATTAAAAAGTTACTTCTGTTGAGTAATTACAAATTTCTACCTCTGTGTGTATTGACATAAAAGTCTATTCTATTAAGTGACAAAAGCCAAGTTACAGAAATATATCTACAGCATCATACTACTTTAAAAAAAGTGTGTATATATATATGCATATATATATATATATATATATATATATATATATATATATATACACACACACATATATACATACACACATACATACTTACATACACGTATGAAAACAGTCTGGAAAGTTATACACCAAGTTGTTAAAAGTGGTTTCCTCTGGGGTGCTAGTTAGAACAGGAATTAATTCAACGTTACATACTTTATGTTGTTTGAAATTCTTGTAAGTGCATCTTACTTTTATTTTTAAAAAATTCTAGATAGAAACAAAACGATGAAATATGTGGTGAAATTCAAAACACTGAAATAATCAGAAGAGCCTAGCTTTTCCCCAGATACAAAGGAACGCTTCCAGAAAGCATGGCAGCGAATTGGCTGGACTGAGTGTCACAAGCAGTGGCCAGCACACGCTTTGACTCCGTAAACATAACGGCCAGTCAGCAGGAAGTGAGCAGGAAAACGGTTCGGGCCCGTTCCTGTGACCTGCAGGCAGTCCCAGCACTGATTCCCAAGCTGGGCAGCTGATGGCCCTCTCTGCGGAGACAGCTTTCTCAGGTGGACACACGGATTCAGCATCCTCAATCCTGTTAACACCAGTCTTTCTACATTCATTTAGAAACAACCCTCCAAAGTGCAGTGTGACCAGGGGTGACAAAAATGGGGGTGCTGCATGCAGCTTGGCAGGTATAGTTCCTTCAGACAAAGCAGTAGGCTGTGGAGGCCACAGAGGGAGCCTGCAGGCAAGTGTGTTTCTCATTATCACGTCTACAATACATAAAGAACGATTGACTGCCTTGGATTTTCTAGGACATGCACTCGCTTCCTCACACAGAACAGTGCAGGGGCCACAGAACAACCCAGTAGGGCTGAAAACACTGGGTGCTGCAGACTGGAAACTGAGCACAAGGCTATGCACACATTCTCAGGTTTATGTAGTTTTACACCTGACAGGAAGACTCTGCCAGTATTCACACGGACAAGTAAGGGTATGGGGCTCAAATCTGGACACAATAGGGGCCGGCCAAGTGGCTCAGTTGGTTAAGAGTTAGCTTAAGAGCGCAAGCGCTGAGCAACAGGGCTGCCAGTTTGATTCCCACATGGGCCAGTGACGCTGTGCCCAGAGCTGGGATGCCACTGAGCTGCCATCGGGTGGCAGGATGGCTCAGCTGGTGAGAGCACGTGCTCCTAAGACAGCCTGTTTGATGGTGGGCTATACCTGCCCACAACTAAGACTGAACTTGGCACCTTGAGCTGACCTGCCACCCAGATGGCTCAGTGGATAGAGCACATGCTCTTAACAAGGTTGCTGGTTTGACTTCCACATGGGATTGTGGCTACGCCCACCCGCAACTAAGATTTAACACAGCATCTTGAGCTTAGAGGCCACGAGCTGCCGACGGGCAGCCAGATGGTGACTGGTGCTCCCCACAACAAAGATTGAAGAACAACTTGGCTGGTCCCCTCCCCCAATTCCCCAATTTAAAAAAAAAATTTTGGACACAATAAAGTACCGTCTAGTTGTTCCAGAACTGGAATTCTAATACTCCGGGTTCCTGCTCAGTGTGAGGTACATACATCAGCAGTGAATAAACTAGGTGTTAATAGAACTCTGCTTGTTCAAAACTGAAAAGTTAAAAACCAAAACACACGTTCACTATTGATGGGAATGTAAACTGGTGCAGCCACTATGGAAAACAGTATGGAGGTTCCTCAAAAATTTAAGAATAGAATTACCATATGACCCAGCAATTCCTCTCTTGGGTATCTACCCCCAAAATATGAAAACATTTATCCGTAAAGGTACATGTACCTTTATGTTCACTGCAGCATTATTCATGGTGGCTAAGACATGGAAACAACCAAAGTGTCCTTCGATAGATGATTGGACAAAGATGTAGTATATATACACAATGGAATACTATTCTGCCATAAGAAAAGATGAAATAGTGCCATTTGCGACAACATGGATGGATCTTGAGATTATCATGCTAAGTGAAATAAGTCAGACAGAAAAAGTGAAGAACCTTATGATTTCACTGATATGTGGGATATACAACTGAAAGCAACAAGCAAACAAGACAAAATAATAGAGAAACAACACTCATAGACACAGACAACAGTTTAGTGGTGACCAGAGGAGATAGGGGAGTGGTAGAAGAGGGTAAAAGGGATCAAATATATGGTGATGGAAGGAGAACTGACTCTGGGTGGTGAGCACACAATGTGATATACAGATGATGTCTTACAGAATTGTACATCTGAAATCTATGTAACTTGACTAACCATTGTCACCCCAATAAATTGAATTAAAAAGCCAACAACAAATGATGACAATGTGGGGCTTTACAGAAAAAAGGAGACGAAAGAGAGAGAGAGAGAGAGAGAGAGAGAGAGAGAGAGAGAGAGAGGGAGAGAGAGAGAGAGAGAGAGACTACTGTCATGAGGCTACATAGAAGAGTTGTACTTGATTAACTTGGAGCTGGTGCAGGTTGACACTGAGCCTGTGGCACCTTCTGTCCCCTCATCTTCTAGCCTGGGCGCTTCCTGAAGAAAAAGGCAACATCTCTCTCCCCTTTGTACCCCAAGCACACCATCGAGACCGAAATATATCTGTTCAGTTTTAGGGTTCTCACATTTTTTTCTTTGAACATGTTTTGAACCAAGAGTTTAAATCCCCCAAACAGCAGCATCAGTCTTTGTCATGGTCTCAAACAAGCTGATAATTCGGTCATGGGGAGAGAGGTAGTTAGGCCTGCAGATGTGCTAACGTACTCAGGAGCTAGGATTTACAGTTACGATGAGCAGAGGAAATTAGATCTTCAATCCTTCTTGCCAATAAGGTGTTAAAAGCCTTTAGTTAGTATAAGAAGACGTATCAGCGACTACTCCTATTTCCAGTGTTCCTTCAGATATTTAAGGCAGGACTCATTTGCAGAAAGGCCCATGGCTGGTTTTGCTCTAACTTCAAGTACTGGCTATCATTTAATACCTGTGTGAAAGTCAAGTCAGCTACAATCAATCAAGCCTCAGTTTTCTTATCAGGAAAATGGGTTGTGAAACTCAATTACATGTGAAGTGCTTAGCACCTGGTGTGTAGACAGTCCCTAGCTATCTGCTATCTTGACATATCTGCTTTTTTTGCCTCAAATCATGCCTCAGCTCAAACAGGGTATACAAATGAAACAGTTGAAAAGGGTGCATTTATTCACTATTGAACTAGACAGATCTGTACCTCTCAATCTTTGGCAAATAACATACATAAATCTATGTATACAGTGTACACAAAAGGATCTGCATAAAATTGAATATTCATGATTTTAAATTTAACATATTGTAAGGTAAAAAGTAGACTGTATACTGAGACAACATCTCATTCAATGTTCAACCTGAAATACATTTCACATAAGACTATTTTAAAAAGGGTAGAAGTCACTAACATCTGACCACTTGATTACGCTGAGTGAGGTGAAATGGAATTTCTAATATCATGTAGAGAAATCAGCAATAAAGCATATAATTCTGGTCTGAAAAAAAAGGGTTTAGCCTAAATTGGTCAATATCAGCACCCCAAGAAAGCAATTCCACCACCTCCACTTAAAGCAAACCGCTCTTTTGAGTACAGTGTAGCTCACTCGGAAAAGCATTTCTTGGAGGAGTTCTTGTTCACACAGATCCCTGTGTACAAAACCAAAACCAAACCAAACCACTAGCTACTATGTACCATGCACTCAGCCAAAGCTGAGAGACTGAAGGTTAGACATCTTCTAATCCCATACCCAGGCGGAAACCATCAGCATTGCTGCTATAAAAATCTGGGCAGGAGAAGCAGCTCAACCAGGGATGGTGGACAGCAGAGAACTCTGGCTGATACGTGGGAAAGCCAATAGACAAAGTGACTTTTAGTGCAGAGTAACAAAACAGCTTCTCTGGAGGGCCCACAAGAGTAAATGAAAACAAGTCTTTATTTATTCAATGTCCTTCTTTTGTATCCTTAGCAGCTCTCATACTGGATATTTTTTTGCAACAGGAACATTTTTAACTTACAGAAGGCATTAAGATAACATAACGTCTATTTGTAAAAAAGAAAAATTACAATCATGGTTAAAATAGAAAATAAACTATTGAGATAAACTTTTTACATGTTTTATAGCAATCTCACAAAATAGTAAATGCTTTCAAAAATTACAATATTTTACATTATATTAAGTTGAATGTCAACATTAGTTAAGATCATCTGCAATTGTGGTGTCAAAAATCTGATAGCAAATTTGCTGTTCCGTTCCATTTGTGACATTATACGACTTGATGAAGCATTCCAACCATGGATACGCATCTACAAATCCAGAAGAAAATGTTATTTAACCATTAAAACTAAACAAATAACTCTGAGATAGGTACTTAAGCATAATGCTTAGCTAGAAAAATTAACATTTAATTTAGCTTGAAAAGCAAATGAATATATTTACCAAATTTAACATTATCTATTCTTACAAATCACATATCAGATTCATGTTATTGTTTTGCAGTAATTTTAACTAGTTTTAATTTTTTTCCTCACAACAGGAAAAAGTAATTAAATGTGGGGTTCTCAGAATGTTTGTAAGCTACCTCATTCCCAATTTTTATTCCTTTGTCCCCGCTAATTGCTTTCTGACCTCCCTGTTTTATTGTTTGTTTGTTTGTTTTCTTGGTTGACTGCAAAGAAATGAATCCAGAAGTCAGTCAGGTGAAGCTCTTATATTTATCAAGCTGACACTACCATCAGGTACCAAGTACCCAATCAAGGCAAAGTTAGTAGCCACAGATGCTATTTCCAAGCTTTGGTTATAACCACAGTAACTTTGCAATATCTAGAAAAGTTTCTTAATGTTTCAAGTTCGAGTGTGAAAGATACACAATCTAGTCCTCAATACTGGCAAAGGTCAATAAGACAGGCACTCTCTTACACAGCTGGCAGAACCATAAATAGGTCAAATATTCCTGAAAAAGCAGTTTTGTAGCATGTATCAAAAGTCTAGCAGGCCTGTACTTTTTGATATGGCAGTTTTATTTCCAGAAATCTACCCAAAAGAATCCAAGCAGCCAAAAAAAACTAAAACTGACATTAAATAAAAGTATAGAAGTTAAGCTTTGTTACAGGTGTATAAAAACTATCTTTTTGGGATTATAATGCAAAATTCACCAGAGGAAAATAAAGCCTGATTAAAAATAGCATATAAAAGGTAAACTGTTAACAGTTAAATCTACAGCTGGCAAAATCTGTTACTGATAAAAAATTGTTAGAAGCGTTAAATTGTCTTAATATGATTTAGATCTGCAAGTTTCAATATAAATAGAAATGATGGCAACAAAAGGGAAACTCAGTGGCAGCAGCTATTTGATATAATTTGACCTGAAGATCTGGTTGATGAATCAAATGTTATATAGAAAACAACTAAAGCTGATAAAAATAATTAGTAAAATAAAAACGTGTAAAATCTGAAACTAGTTAATATTGAATAGAAAATTCATCAATGAATTAAACTGGCCAAATGGAGTTTGTTAAGGGAATGTTTGTCAAACTTTCATCTGTTAACATAATGTTAACTAAAATGTTTGCACGCATGAACATAGTATCAAATGTGTTTGTCATCAAAAACTGCCTCCCCTTTATTATATTTCAAAATATTTGAAAAGTCTTTTCATTTCAGGAATTATGATTCACACCCATTTTATCCCTGCCACTGTCTCCACCAAAAGGTAAATTAAACAGTCATCAATCGCTGCTTAGTAATTTATTTGGATTTACATTTCAAAGTTTTCATACCTCTAAAAGTCCATAGATTAGATATATGCTAGGTGCTACTTTAAGAAAAAGAACGAAAGGGATTGTTAAAATACTGCCTACCAATTTTTAATCTTGGAGGGCAAAACATATCCATGATCGTGCCCAAACTTTGCTGAAGGTCATCACTGGTTAGAATTTCTGATGCTGGAATCTGGAAGAATTCGCCCTTAAAAAAATTACAGACGAAAAAGGGAATAATCTTAACCTTTTATTAAAGTTATAGAAGTATTTCAATACTATCTAAAATAATCTAGACTATGTCACTTTATCAAGAGTTTAGAGTTCATAAACTAGAGTGCTAGTCTGAATCCTAAAAACTGATTTAATTTAATCTAAAAAGTTTTGAAATATATATACGTATACATCTATAATCATACATATATATCAATCATATATATATATAAAATCAAGTTAAAGTGCTTTGACTTTATGATAAAAATATTGACCAGAAAACAGCGAGGCTTATTATTCTCTTGATAATGTATACTGAGTTCCTACAACGTGTGTTAAGTTGAAGAGTATAACATATAGTACATATTTATTTAATTTTCTTTCTCCGCTACTAGATTACAAGCTTCAGGAAGGTATTTGGCTTGCTTTGCTCACTGCTAGATCCCTATAACAAAGAACAGGACCTGGCACATAGTAGGTGCTCATTAAATATTTTTAATAAATGGATAAATGAATTATTTAGGGAGGATAAAAATTCTCCTCTCAACCTTACCCAAGATTCTTTTCCAATGTGTGCAATAAAATATTTAACCTTACCAGCCTTTGCCCTTAGCTCCCGTGAGATAATCTCTAAGCCCACGGACTACCATGCCTGATAGGAGTGTCCATGTTTGCCTAAGGATGCTGGGTCACACTGGATAGTCTAACAACGTGATTTTAGGGTGAGGAGTTTGTGTCATGTGCTGCTAGCTTGACCTCTGGAGGGGATGAACACTGATATCAGTCACATGTACTGTCAGCCATGACTGCATACATGATAAAGTTCCAGTAAAAACTCTGGGCGCTAAAGCTCAGTTGAGCGTCCCTGGTTGGCAATACGTGGGCACTGTTACACATTGTCACCAGGAAACTAACACTGTCTTCCGCTCCATGGAAAGAGGACCAATGAAAGTTCCACATTTGAAAGTTTCCTGGACTCTGCCCTATGCCCTTCTTTCTTCCCTTGGATGATTTTAATCTGTATCCTTTAGCTGTAATAAACTGTAACAGTGAGTATAACAGCTTTTAGTAAATTCTGTGAGTCTTTCTAGTGAATCATCAAAACTAAGGGTGGTCTTGGGAACCCCCCAATTTGGAACGGTTGTCAGAAGTGAGGATGGTCTTGTGGACAGCTCCCTAGCTTTGCCCACTGTAACTCCCTATCTAAGTAATTTTGTTCCCTCTAATATGAAGTGTGGAGGCTTAACAAACTTACTGAAAGAAATGCTGACAGGTAATGCCTAGAGGGTTTGGCCACACCTCTATCTTTGCTCCTGGAACAGAACTTCTGCATGGTGCAGAGAATAACTCTCTCCTCCAGTTCCTACCCCTCAATTTCTCATTATTTGGATATTAAGCTTTAGTGTCAAATCAAAAGAGATAAACACATAGATGATTTAAGATTTATGTGCTCGTATTTTATTTTTCTAAGTTGCTTTAATCTTCTCAGTACTAAAGTAGGCATAAATAAATATATTAAAATTCAAAAAAGCATTCTTTTTAGTTACAAATATCTTCACTACCTCTGTTACTTACAGAATCCATAAGATAAGCTTCCAAAACTCCTGTTCCGTCATCGAAAGTAAATGTCATCAGAAATACATGTCGGAGGGGTACAATGCCCAGTGCTGGTGAAGGAGAAAAAGACGAAACCATATGAATCCTCTACTCCTTATAAGTGACAATTGTTTTAGGAGAGCATGTACCTGTAAATTTTGTTTACTAAAATAATTCAAGCGAGAAAACAACTTATGCCCTTTTGTTCTCTAATGTCAACATATTAAGCTCATTTTACAAGGTTCATTTAGGAACATTACACTATACCTATATAGGAACAATGGCTTATTAACAATTGTATCTTTTTTTTTTTTTTTTTTTTTTTTTAGCTGAGCCATCCCGCCACCTGTTGGCAGCTCACGGCTGCTCAGCTCGGGCTGACTCGAACCGCTGTTGCTCAGAGCTCAAACTCTTGAGCGAGCTCTTAACCAACTGAGCCACTCAGCCGGCCCTAACAATTGTATCTTTTTTGATTAAATAATGTATTTTTAAAATGAGCTGATCTCGACAGAAAACATAAAAACTGATTCATGAAATACAATTCATTGCATGTTAGCCTTATGAATTAAAATACCAGAATGTTCTAAAAAATAGCATGCAGTTCACCACTTATGATTATGTAACACGTCTCTCCCCTTTTGTATTATAAGCATAGGGATCACATTTTTTAAGAGATATCATCTGGTTGAACGGACAAAAATGTCAGAATCTTGGATTTTACAATTTGGTAAGATTAAGAAAAAGGAAGAAAATGAGTACTAAATCATATGAAAATTTATAGGTTAAAATGAACACCTTACGTTTGGAAATGAAAGACATTCAATGTTTATAGGATGGAATACATGACACTATTTAAATAGAACTATTTAAGGGGGCAAGGAAGAAGAATCAATCAGGGCACACAGACATGACAAATTATTAACAGAGGAACTGAGTTTTAGGACTCAAGAGGTCTCAATAAGTTAAAATTGTGAGCTAAAACCAGGAAGTATGAATATAAAATCTACTCTGAGGGACCACTTGGACAAAGAGAACTGCACTAAGAACAGGATAGGGAGAGCAAGCAGGATTGCAAGAAGCTCATGTGAAAGGAACCTGGAATATCACCGGACAAAATATGAGATAGCAGTATCATAGCTGGATTGAAAGAGAAGGAAAACAAAACCAAAAAGAAATAAATGCCTACCCAGGAAGTCCTTACTTAACATTATCGGCCGGTTCTGGGAACTGCGGTGAAATGACATAAAAACCAATTTTACCATAGGCTAGTTAACATAAATAAGAGTTAAGTATTAGGGCATCTTATCAACGTTGCAATGAAATGATGTGAACAAAATGACGTTATTCTACAATGTAATTTTCAGGCCAGTAGAAACTGTCCAATTTTAGGGAAATAAAGGCTTTCTTTATATATGAAACGGCAAGCATCTGCAGCCCTATTTCCAGCTTTGAATGCCAAGCTTTGAGACGAGCACTGGTAAAGTGGAACGCTTACTAAATAGGAGAAATAAAGTAGTAAAGAATGTGGGAAATGCCAAAGGACGTGAGATGCCTCGTTGGAGACATAAACACTCGATGAAGCCTCCACAGATATCTTCAAATGCATAGTCTGTCCATCTTATAGAAGAGGGAACACATTTAATCTAATTCTAGTAGACAGAAAGTGGCCCATGTTAAAATTATAGGTAGGCACATTTTGCCTCATTATTAATAACTGCCCCAAAATGAAGGGGGCATGTTGCCTTGCAAGGTAATGAGTCCCGTGTCACTGAAAGAGTTTTAAGTTTTGAGAACATGATACAAAAAGATTCTTATTGTTCCAGCTAAAGACTTGTATTGGGTGAAAAGTTGTAATAGCTATCTCTAAAACTTGTTTAAATCCAAAGATACTATGAGCTGGAGAGATTTTTAAGAAGTTGTATTTATGATTAATGATTAGTACTAAAATTACAGAATGTTAAAATGTGAGTAATGAATAAAAGATACTGGCAGATGCTTGAAAGGAAGTTTCCCAATATTTTAAACATTTACCTTATACTTTTATTACAATCACTGTGAATGGTTTTGCTTAAGGGAAATTAAACTTTAGCTCAGCCTTTGCTCTGGTTTTACTATATCCATGAATACTGAAATATAATCAGTGAGATCCCCTTATACAAAGACAGTTAAAATTGCAGGACACAGAAACTTAGCCAACCTTCTGCCACAGAAGAAGGAATCCAGGATGTCTTATCAACCACAGAATTTAGATTCTGTATTGGTTTCAAACTAGAACACTGTTTACATCTGAAATTAATAAAAGAAAAAAATTTTAATAATTTATTATAATTTAGTTATAAATCATTTATTATAACTTATTTTTGCTGTTCAAATATGCATTTTAAAAAGTAAAAAAAGTAAATTATTAAACAAAAGTACTGTGCTTCCTATATTGTACTGTGCATGTTATGAACAGAATTATTAAAAAAAATAAGCTTTTTACAGCAGAAACAATCACAAAGATAGTATGGTTCAGGATAAACAGCATTAAATTGAGAATAAGAGAGAGGCTCTAAGTCCAGATTATTAATTAATTTGGCTGATTTCCTTATTTGGTAAAACAAAAAAGTTTACACAGAAAATCTCTAAGCACTTTCATTTTATGGCTCTGTGAACAATATATAATAGCCAAGGTCTTAATTAAATAGAGCCAAAATAAGACAATTATTCTGACTAAAGACGTCAGTACTAGCAACATTTGGGGTAATATATTCAGTGAGCACATATTTAAAGGTTTATAGTTTATGATGCCTAATACTATAGTTATTCATTATAACATAAATTTAAACTACACAATATACTAACATTGTACATTATTTAGTATAGGTATTTTGCTTACATACAAATATATTTTAAGTACAAATAATTTTTTATTAATATCATAATGTCTGGGAGATAATAAATATATACTTGAATAAAAGCATAAAAATCAATATTCAAAAGGCTCATGCAGACTCCGTTTCATTTGCAATCTGGAGAAAAACAGTGTAACTGTAAATAAAAAGGCAATATTAATTTACATATTGATAAAGCAAGTATACAAATTAAAAATTAAGTACACAAATTAAAAATTAAGGGTAACAAGTAGAAATTAAATAGAGAATTCATTACTTCCACAGTAAAAAAAAAAAGAAAAAGGAGAAAATTAAAATCACTTTTATAAGTCAATTCAACAGAAGACTGATGAAAAACATAAGCAAAATATAACAAAAACTGAAGAAGAGGTCAACAGTATTGTAAGTGAAAAACAACATAAAATACAGAAATAAAACCTAAGTATATTAGTAGTTAACATATTTTAAACTCATCTATTGTATTTAAAAAACAACTAAAATCTACTCATAAGTATTTATGAGACTGACTAAACTATAACAACAAAGGAACATTAAAAGCAAAGGGATGATAATAAGATACTAAACAATTATGAACCACAAAAAGCTGACGTAGGGCGGCCAGATGGAGACCTGACTTGCAGCTGAGCTAGCTGTGCCCTCCACAACTAAGATTGAAGGAAAACAACTTAACTGACCCCCTTCCCCAATAAAATCTTAAAAAAAAAAAAAGAAGTTTATTTTATATATCATGACCCAGAATACAACATATACACACAATTGAAACAAAAGTTTAGGAAACAATACTAACCCTTACTAAGTAAAAAGGTCTCTGTTATTCATTTTGATTTATACCATATCATGCCATACCATCACATATCGTATCATTAAAAAAAAAATACTGGAATGATCCAGTGAAGTTATATTATGACAAAGGAAATATATAAAAGGATTTCATTTAGCACTGCCTGTAAATGTAATGAATGAAAATAACATATGTCCATTCATAGGAAAACAGATTAATAAACCGTAATATATTCCATATGAAATAAAATTCTATATAAACATTAAATTACTAATCTACATGAGTAAATATGGATAAATCTTGAAAATAATATTATGTGGGGGAAAAAGGCAAGTTGCAAAATGAAAAGGCACAGTATGAAACAGTTTACATAAATTTAAAAAACACAAAATAATACACTATACTCCTTAAAAGTTCACACATACATTATACTAAGAGCATAAAAACACTGATGAGAAGAACTAAGTTTGGAAAAGCAGTTACTTCTGAGAAGGAAGCAGGGGACTGGTAGGGTGTTTCTTCTGTTTTGTACAATTTCATTCTTAAAAAGTAAAGAATTGAAAAATATGTTAACATGCTAACATTTATTGAACCTAAGTGGAGGATTCATAACTGTTTATGATGTAATTTTTTATATTTTTCTGTAGTTAAAATTATTTTTCATAATTAAAAATAAAGAGAAAAGTCAATAAAAAGATATGTTGCCTTTTGCTGATTGAATCAAAGTAATGGAAAATCGAGAAGAGTCTTAAAATCCGGAAAATGAGAATTTCTTGGTTTATGCTGAAAACGGGGGAAAAGTTGAGAGCTGTAACAGAACTTTATTTTAGCCTTGTAGTATGTGAAGGACATTCCAAAGCTTATAACCAATACTTGCTTTCCTGGTTCTAGACTGGCCAAGGTGACTAATGGCTAGGAAGGCAAGACAGGAGAGAGAGGGACGGAGAGGAGAGAGAGTGAATGAGTGCGGATAGATACAGAAAAAATACAAGGTCCACGTTAGTGACTTATGAAAAAGCAACTAATTTGACAGACTTTTATTTTTGAACTAATTATAAACCTTGATAAAGTGGATTCTGAGGTCATGAATCCAATGAGAGATAACAATTAAAGACACTGGGCACATTAGAGTAAAAATAGCTATGAACCACAGATTTAACTCAGTGACACTATTCCAACTTATAGCTGAAGTTTTATGGTATTTTGTATATGGGACAGAACCCAGAGCAATCTCCACATGCCTACCAATGACCTCAGTGGTCACAATCAGAGAGAGATCATAACTGCAGTATGTAATTTTCAATTGAAATCAAGATTTATGTATTATAACGATGAGTAACAATTGCTACAAACACAGGAGTACAAAAGGGAGAGGGATGGTACAAGATGTATTCTATAATCCAAAGTTTCGCAAAACAGCATTTTCAGGGTGACTGTTTCATCAAGCAGAAGCAAAGGAGATTTTCTCCCCACTGCCTCCTTCCAAACCTAAAAATCTGTTTCTAGCTCCTAGTGTGTTCTGTTATCTTCCAAATACTCAGTGACAACTAATTTGTAACTTTGTGGCACAGAAATTCTGAAATTCAATCACTTAACTTTTATTAGAATGTAGCTATGAACCTTTCTCTGTAATGAGCATTTAAATCCTTGTGAAAGAAAATAAATGATAATTAGCCTCTGGGATAGCCTTCTACATAGTCTACGGTAGGTACTCAATATATATGCTACCAAAATAATAAATACATGTGAAAAATCTAGTACATATAAATTGGTACTCAATAAGTATCCACTGACTATATAGTAAACAAGTGGGATAAGATAATAAAAGTAAAAATTACTCTTAAACAATTTTTAATTCCAAAAAATCCCAGAATTGAAAACATACCCATAGTGATGTGTTTTTCCTTGTATGAGGAATGGTCCTGAAAGGTCAAGGACTTCCAGGTCTGTATGGCCAGATTTCACAGGAATTACACTATGAAAGCTGTTGGCGAGTTTTTGGATTTCACTGAGTGTACCTCCTATTAGAGACAACAAATAAACCCTTTATGTAGTATAAATATAATGCAGGCAAAATAAAGTACTTATTAAGTAACACATGAGGTACAATAAAAGACTAAAGGGATTGACAGAAAAAGACAATGAAAACAATGAATTTTAGAGATTTAATTCATTTATACATTTATTGTGAAAAATAATGATTTGTAAATTTAAGATCCTACACAGTGATTAAAACAACCACTGTACAAAAATGCTGAGACCTGTGCAAATATATGGCTTGAGAAAGCTTAACCATCTTTTTACATTTATACAAACTGCTCTCTATGCCAGGAACTCCTTTGTTCAAAAACTCAAAAGAGAATAAAGTTGAGAGCCAAAGCATGACAAGATTCTCATTATTACATTTGCTGTATACAACTAATGTGTAGGCAAATTTAGTCCTGAGTTTGAAATAAATCTTTTAAACTTCCAGGTGAACATTAAATTTAAATATAGATGCAAATAGTTCATGTAATATGAATTTGTGTGCAGTGTTTGTCCATTTTTCTTGGGAAAGCCATGACAATCACCCCAAGTCTACGACAGGGTGGACACTACAACCATCACGTTGGCTGAGAAGAAATCATACGCCCAACAGTGCACCATTATCAGAAGGATTTTCTATGAGAATTCAAACCTACTGGTGTGTTTTTTACTTAGCTTGATAATTCTTCCTCTCCAGGAAAAGAGAATATAATTTATAAAAATACTTCTGTGTATTTCCTAAAATTTGCATAAAACTTGTAATGTTAAATTTTAACTGTGAGGGGAAGCATTTCTGGCATAAGCAGACTAAAGACGTCCAAAAATACACTTCTCCATAAAAGCAAAAAGAACATTAGCAAAAACTGTCAAACCCAACTTTTTCAGGACTCCAGAAATCAACCAAATGCCTGCACAACAATCCAATAATACACTTTTTTTCCATAAAAACTGGATACATTTTGGTACGAACAGCAAGCTTTGTAGTGTTTGAACTTAATTTGGCTCCCATCCCTCTTTCTGCAACTCTGAAATAGCTGGAAGCCATGTCAAGCTGCAGTTAAACCCTAGCCTCCGGTTAGGGTTATAATATTCAGAAATATAATAAAATAAAAATGTTACATTTTGATGAAACCCTTTAAAATTTTAAAGTGCTTTCACATACACTTTCATTAAAAAGCTCTGTAAGGTAAGAAAAACAAATACCATATGATATCACCTATATGTGAAATCTACAGAACAAAATAAAACAGAAACAGACTCATAGATAGAGAACAAACTTATGGTTGCTGGGTGGAAGAGGGATGGGGGTGGAAAAGGTGAAGACATCAAGAAGTACAAATTGGTAGTTATGAAACAGTCATGGGGATATAAAGTACAGCATAGGGAATACAGTCAACAATATTGCATCAACTATGTATAGTGCCAGGTGAGTACCAGACTTATGGGGAGGTGGGGGGGAAATCACATTGTAATTTATATAAATGTCTAACCACTATGCTGTACACCTGAAACTAATATAAAATAATACTGAATGTTAAGTGTAATTGAAAATTTATTTAAAGTGTCCGTTAAAAAAAAAAAAGCTCTGGGGCCGGCCGAGTGGCGCGATGGTTAAGAACTGGCTTGGGACGCCAGAGGGCCCCGGTTCGGATTCCATATATGAGGGCCAGTGACACTGCCCTCTACAGCTAAGATGCTGAACAACGGCTCAACCTGGAGCTGGGCTGCTGTGAGTTGCTGGCGACGGCATAGGCTGCAGCCCCTGTGGCAGTGGGTTGCCATGGGCTACTGTGTGTAGCCAGCAGCCAGCGTGAGCGGCCAGCAGCCGCAGTGAGCGGCCATCCAGAAGCCGGCGACTGATCTGCCTCGCCCGGGAAGAGCGCAATGATGGTGCCAGCTTGGGCCAGTGAAGCAACGTCCTCCACAACTAGACTGAAGAACGAAACGACAGCAACTTGTCTGTTCCCCTTCCCCCAACTCCCCACCGCTGTTCCCATCTCCTCAATTCCCCAATAAAAATCTTAAAAAAAAAAAAGCTCTGGGGACAACCGAGTGGCTCGTTGGTTAAAAGTTGGCTTGGGAGCGTGAGCTCTGAGTAGTAGGGCCGCCGGTTCGGATCCCACATGGGCCAGTGATGCTGCGCCCTCTACAGCTAAGATGGTGAACAATAGTTTGACCTGGAGCTGGGCTGCCGTAAGTTGCCAGAGTCAGCGTAGGCTGCAGTGGGCTGCCGTCCAATTGCCGGCGACCAATCTGCCTCAGTCGGAAAGAGCGTAATATCACAATACCAACATGGGCCAGTGAAGCGACGTCCTCCACAACTAGACTGAAGAACAAAACGACAGCAACTTGTCTGTTCCCCTTCTCTGATTGCTCAGCTCAGGCCGGGAATAGAACCGCTGTTGCTCAGAGCTCAAACTCTTGAGTGAGCTCTTAACCAACTGAGCCACTCGGCCAGCCCCTCCATAACAAATCTTTTAACAACGACAAAAAAGTTCTGTAAGATGAAATGTTACTTATTTGGATGTACTTATTTATTCAGTAAATATTTGCTGAGAGCCAGTTACATGGCAGATGCACTACTCTAGGTGCTGAAGATATTGTACATCGATTAAAATGAACATTATCCTGTCTTTCGAGAGCTTACATTCTGATAAGGAAGCAAATCTATAAACAGACAGATATAACACCAATATAATACCAGAACAGAAGTGCTCTTTTGGAAGTTCATAAAGTACGTGATAAGCACCACTCCAATCTGCCTGGTGAATCAGAAAAGGCGCTCGGTACATGCAGGTGGTCATGAAATAATCCCCAGGAACTGCTGAATACAGGGAATGATTGGCTTTACTTCTGAAGATGTACTGGCTCAGAAACTGTCAGGAGAACAGCAATGGGATGGCCGAAAGGCAGAGGAAATGCACTGGGTTTTGGAATTGCCACCAGGGCAATATGGCTCGGTAGGCTGGGAATGGAGGCACGCAGGAGATGCGACTAACAGCCTGTGGGATGAGTGCGAATGAGAGGGGACTGAGAGCTTCAAGGGGCTTCTTTAGTCAAGCTTCCTGGGGGCCCTCAAGGCCCGAGTGGCTTCAGCACAGAACTCAGTGGGAGGCGGAGTAACACAGGGGGACCCGGGGAGAAGGTATGCATGACATCATCTTAGTTGGGCCTACAAGGACAGTTCTTACTGAATCTCTTAAGCCGTGGCTCTATTTTATTTTTACAGCCTACAAACACTCCATTTTTTCTTGTATGAATGTGTGTGTGTGTCTGTGTTTCTGTTTTTACATCAGTCTCCTGGTACAAATTAAAATATTGCTAATAGAGTAAGAGATCACATTTCACTCGTGAAAGTAGCCAAGTCTGTTAAAGTGTGAGTACATGATGATGAGGGAAGGAGAACAAATAATCTCATATGCTGCTAAAGCACATGCAGACTCGGATAACTTCACTAGAAACTGGGCAACATTTACTTCATTACTTGTGCCCATAATGACATTTCATCCAGAGGGAGATAAAGTTCATTACAGAGTTACTATGTTAAAAAACAGGGACACTTAATTTCTCTGTGCTTCAGTTTTTCGCATGCATAAAAACAGCTTATAATAGCACCAACTGCATAGAAGTGCTGTGATGATTAAATAAATTCATACACAGAAATTAATTAAAATAGTTCCTGGTATACTATAAATGTATTCAAACAAGAGATGTTCATGGACATGATACCAATGTTTATACACATGTGTATTCTTATACAGACATATTTTCTAAAAAGACTATGGATTACTTTTACAAACAGGAAAATGTCAGCAATAAAAATGACCATGACCCATTGTCATAAAGATCATCCCTTTATAAAATGAAACTAAAGATTTCTGTAATGCAAATTAAAAAGGGTGTTTTCCTTTTATTATGGAATATTAATAAAGAAAAGTCCCAACGAAAATAATGAAACATTAAATTTGGCTTGGAAAAAATATGTGGTAGATATATTAGATAAATACTAGATAAAAATAAGACAAAAGTAGAAAAGCAATGAAAAAATAAATGACTCGGTTTCATTTTTTCAAAACGTCGTTATTTTTCCTTGTTTCCAGGGTCCCTTCCTTGATTTAGATATTGACACATGACTTTCCTTGTACTTTCATGAAGCAACAGTGACACCCAGAGGCCAAGATAACAGCAACTGGACACAGCAAGCAGCCTCTGGATTGTTATTCAGCTCGATAATTAGCTTGGATCTGGTTAGGGTCATACACAGGAATCCAGCAAGATGAACACATGTAAAACGCTTGAGTTTAATGTATCATTTCAAAATGTCATTCAGATAAATTTACATGTGTGTATGTATATATTTGAATCTAATTGTTACAGATAATATATTCTGTTTTATGAAATTTAAATTAACACTATTTTGACTTTATATATCCTAGGTTGCCCCTAAAATATATTTAACAATTAGAGAAAGACGTAAGAAAAAGCTGGAATCTAATAAGATAGTGACTTAAATATCTTACCTTCTATCAAAATCAGGCAGTCATTTGAAACTGGGAGAATACCATTATTTTTCATAAAATGAATAGCTACTTTTCGTCCTCCTTGGTATTTAGTGGTCCACATTTTTGAATCATATAATAATGTATTTTGTAGTTTGGTATCTGGGGTTTTACTTTCACCGTTTCGCAAAATTATCTCCAATTCACCCTCATGTGGAACTTCTTGCCTAAAACCATCAACAACGCAACAACACAAAATAATCGGCATAAGCTTGGAAATTCAAATTCTACAAATTATCCAGTTAAAAAAATTGTTTATATGCTGATGAGCCAGCTATATATATATATATATATATATATATATATATATATATTTTTTTTAAACATTTTTATTGGGGAACTGGGGGGATGGGAACAGTGCTGGGGAATTGGGGGAAGGGGAACAGACAAGTTGCTGTCCTTTGTTCTTCTCAATCTAGTTGTGGAGGATGTTGCTTCACTGGCCCAAGTTGGCACCATCACTGCGCTCTTCCTGGGCGAGGCAGATTGGTTGCTGGCTTCTGGACGGCCGCTCACTGCGGCTGCTGGCCGCTCACGCTGGCTTCTGGCTACACACGGTAGCCCATGGCAACCCACTGCAGCAGGGGCTGCAGCCTACGCCATCGCTGGCGACTCACGGCAGCCCAGCTCCAGGTTGAGCTATTGTTCAGCATCTTAGCTGTGGAGGGCAGTGTCACTGGCCCTTATATGTGGGATCCGAACCGGGGCCCTCTGGCGTCCCAAGCCAGTTCTTAACCATCGCGCCACTCGGCCGACCCCAGCTACTTATTTTTAAAATAGGGAGATAATTCACTTTGCAGATTAAATGACTCTGATTCAATATAAAGATATTTGATGCTACTTCATGGCTAGGCAGATTCATATCATAATTACATGAACCACAGGAACTTCCTTGCCTGGTTTTGATGCCAAGGTTACATATAATTGTTTCTGGCACCAGTCTGTTCTCCTCTGTAAGGAATGCTCAACTTCCCACGGGGAAGAGAAAATGCAGCTGTCCAGCCTTTGCTCCATTTAAATACCCACTTACCATCTTAAGTAATCTCACTTTCTTAGGGTACCTACTTTACAAATCAATATTCCTTTCAATTCCTTTTAATCTAGAATAATAATTTTAGAAAGTCATATGGTAAAGCATGATAGAGTAGAAACGGAAAGATCTAGACTCAAAAGGTCTATGTTCTCGTCATGGTTCTGACACCAACCATCTGTGTACCTGTAGGTAACACCTCTTAACCTTTCTGAGGTCATTTCGTTATTTGTTTAAGAAATTATCATAGACTGTGGTTCTGTTGTTACAGAATTTGACAAACTATAATTTGATAGTACTTCAAGAATTATCTAAACTCTGCATTTATATTTTAATTCCAACTACCATTTCAAGCTCAAATAGGTAAAAGACAGTCCCCATTTTATTTAAGATCTTATGATCAAAAATTTCCACAAACAAGACCAGCCGAATGGCGCACTGGTTAAGAGTGGGCTTGGGACACCAGCTCTGAGCAGCAGGCCCCCAGTTCGGATCCCACATGAGGGCCAGTGACACTGCACCCTCTACAGCTAAGATGGTGAACAACAGCTTGACTTAGAGCTGGGCTGCCGTGAGTCGTGGGGCTGGCTGGCAGCCAGCGTGAGCTGTTTTGAGCGGCCATCCAATGGCTGGCAACCGATCTGCCTCACCTGGAAAGAGTGCAATGATCACAATAAAAACATGGGCCAGTGAAGTGACGCCCTTCACAACTAGACTGAAGAACAAAAGGACAGCAACTTATCTGTTCCCCTCCCCCAATTCCCCAATAAAATCTTAAAAAAAAAAATCTCCACAAACAGTATTATACTTATATTTAAGAAGGGGATATGTGTGTATTACTGTACACCGAACCTACACAAACAATATGTAAATATATAAATATAATGAAGGTATGTCTGTGTGTATATACACATGTGGAGTGTGTGTGTGTATATGTATGTGTATATATGTGTATCTATGTATATATACACACACGTAATATAGAGGGACGATAGTCAATTGCATAAAAAAGGAGGGGGATTAAAAATAATTTTCAGAATATGTCTTGAGCTAATAAGTACACAATCATTGTATTATAAATTTATTTACATATTTATAAAATAACTGATGTTTTGAATAAAGACTGGCACTAAGGAATTCTCAATTACTATTGTAATAATTAAGCAGGACAGAAATATTTCCAACAAGGCTTTCTATATCACTTAATGAAAAATTTCAACTAACCTTTTCTCTTTAAGAATTTTAGTCAATAATGGCTTAGTCTTAAAAATAGTTTTTTTTGTGACAAATGAGAAAGTCTCACCAAATATTTTCAGTTTATTATTTGTTTGCATTTATCAGAGTTAGTAAATTCAATTGAAATTTACTCATTTCCAGGACTTAACAGTTACGTGTATAAACATAAATATACCAATATTATGAAGTGAAAACTTGCTTTATTATGGAAAATACTTACAGCGAATGACATTTAGGACAATGAAGTTTCACAGACTGAAAGAGTCTTTTGGGCTCATACGACCTCAATTTTGCTCGGATGCGATATTGTTGAGGAGCTTTTTGTTTTGAAATAGTACCTAGTTGGCTGTTCTCCAAATACTGATGATCTGTAAGTACTATAAAGAATTTTTAGATTAAGGTAGAATAATCTACAAGAATAATAAGCATATTCTTGACATGAATCCCCCTGAACCAAATATGTACAATAAAATCTAAGTTGTATTGTCAACCTTATTAACATTTTGCCACGTTTATCATCTCCATTTGTCTCTCTACACACACACACACACACACACACACACACACACACACACACACACACCACACACACACACACACCTTACAGACACATAATTCATATACATATGTGTATATGTGTATATAGGAACCATTTGAGACTAATTTCCACACATAACACTCCTTTATCCCTAAATATTTCACACTGTGTATTTCACAAAAACAAGAAATTTCACTGACATAACATAGTGCGATTTTCAACATCAGAACATTTAACATTGATGTAATATTATCACTGAATCAACAGACATTCAAATTTCTCCAACTGTCCCCATCATGTTCTTATTTAGCATTTTATTTTTGGGCTGAGGGTCCAAACCTGAAGCACGCAATGCATTCACTTTTCCTGGCTCTTTACACTCCTTTAACATAGGTTAACGGTTCCTCAGCCTTTTCTAACACTGATAAATTTGAGAAGAGAGCATTTCTTTTTCTCAAGATCAGATGCAAATTATGCATTTGGGCAGGAATACTGTATTCGCATAAGCCATACTGAGGGCTTCCTGTGCATCACATCACCAGGCAGGCGGATCAGTGTTTTCAAGCCTGGGGAGGGTGACACTACTCAGTTAGCGAAGGTGGTGTTCAACAGGTTTCTCCACTATATACTTACTTTCTCCCTTTTAACTATTAAGAAAGTACTTGGGAAAATAAAAATATCCCAATCTTACACTTAACATTTAGGACCCCCCAGTTTAGGGCACACAGGTGACTCACAACTAAATGAATTATTAGCATCATGGTTGCAAAATAGTGGTTTTTCCTAACTTCATCATTCCTTGTCCATTTATTAGTTGCCATTAAATTTTAATAAGAGCTTTCCATTCAACTTCATTTATTTGCTTTGTTGTTTTATTTACTATCTATTGGGTTGTCGGAAAAGTCATGACACATTTTTGCAATGAAAAACAAAGAAAAAATACATTATGACTTTTCCGATAACCTAATACATGGGATAATAGATTCCTACTTCATTCAATAAGTTCTGTTCCAACACCAGTCTTTTTTATTTTGATGCTCAAATTGTACCAGACTAGGCATGTTTCATCATTAACTGAGAATTTCTTTTCTCTCTGGCACAAGGTATTCCAGACTCACTTTGGAATTCTCTTGTCCCAATCCCGGAATGTTCTATTTCTCCAAGGAGCCCTGATTCCTGTTAAGGCGGAATATTATTTGTAAACCAAGATCTGTGAACTAAGTGTGTTCACTGCTACTGGGCGCCATTGCTTCCACGCCCGTTCGTTGACAGAGGTAGGGCATATGTGCACACATGTGCACACCTGTACTACACACATCGTGACCTACAAATAGATGCACGAACACGCATGCGAGTAAATACAGATACACCAATAATACACACCTATATCTATTTCTGTATCTATCTATAACACCATGAGTACATACTGACTGAAACCTCCAATTCCAACACAATACGACTGGTTTCTTCCTTCTAGCCTTCCCCCATTTCATGGTTACATACCCTTTCTCCAATAATGAGAAACGCATTTTATAACAGCATATTACAGAACATCATTTAATAGACTTGTCCTTAAAAATACTTTTTTCTTAAAATTTTTTTTTAATTTTAGCTGCAGTAACAGAAGGAGGGCACGTGACAGATTTACTATCTTTGCTAACATTCAAGTTTTGGGGCATATTGTAAGGAGCTCTTTTATGGACACACTGCTAAGTGCATGATGTGAACTGACTGAAATTAATGCCATAGAAGACAGTTTACATTCTCAAACTACAAATAAGCCCCACTGTACTGTCAAAACGTCTACTCATATGTTCCATAAACCTTACAGATACATGACTTAAAATCCATATTTAATGTAAAAACATGTCTTTCTGGGTTCCATTTTATGCCAGCTAGGATGAGGAATAGGAATAAGATATAGATATATTTTTGCTCTCATGGATGTCTGATCTCAATATTAGATAGGAATGAATTTGTTGATAAGCATAAGGACACGCTTTATATTATGCTATTCTGCTCGGATTTCAAAAATGAAACATGGTCTTACTTGTAGCTGATAATTGTTGACATCTTTCTACCTCATATAGTGATACTGATTCAGGACCTATAGAAAGGAGAAGGAAAAGGAATTATACAGTTTTAAAATCTGTTAAAAATTCAATGTGGTATTCAAAACTATAAAACATTGCTGAGAGAAATAGAAAAAAATCTAAACAAACAGTGAAATATGCCATATTCATGAATTGGAAGGCACAATATTGGTAAGATATAAATTCTCCCCAAATTGATCCATAGATTCAGTGCAATCCTAATCAAAATTGCAGAGGCTTAATTGTAGAAAGAGAGAAGCAGATTCTATCACTTAGGTGGAAATCACAAAGAATCTAGAATCTAATCTTGAAAAAGAACAAAACTAGAGTACTTACACTACATGATTTAAAGACTTATTATAAAGCTATACTAATGAAGTCTATATGGTGCTGACATAAAGACTGACCAACATATGAATAAAATTAAATAGAAAGCCCAGAAACCCCCATTTACATGATCATCTGATTTTTAATAAAGGCAGCAAAGCAATCCAAAGGGAAAGCACAACTCTATTCAGCAAAATGGTGCTGCAACAACTTGAAATTAGTATTAAAAAAATGCTTACTTCATAATATTACTAAGTGTTGAACAGAAAGCCCAGAAATAAACCCACATATCTACCCATTTGATTTTTCACAAAGACATCAAAGCCATCTTACATAAAAAAGAAAAATGGTGCTAAAACAACTGAAAATTCATATTTAAAAAAAAGTCTACCTCATACCATCCTACTAGCATAAAAAGGAACGAACTGTTGATATGTGCAACAATGTAGATGAATATCAAAAACATACAGTATATACAAAACATATAATGTATTAATCCATTTATTTGAAGGTCTAGAACAGGTACAGCCAATCTATGGTGGAAAAAAATCAGAACTTCTGGAAAAAACTTCTGGGGCGGGGTGGGTGACGAGGACTGACTACGAAGGAGCATGAGGGAGTTTTCTGTGCAATGTTCTACATTTTAAGCGGGGTTCAGGTTACACAAATTAGTCACAACTCATGAAACAGTACACTTAAGTTGTCCATTTCATTGCATATAATTTTACCTCAAAAATAAATAAGAATCCTAAACAAATACTAAACTCTAGTTAATGATGTTCATTCTGAAATCTTTAGGAGGTATACTAATGTCTGCAACTTACTTGGAATGCATGAAAATTAAGATGGATTGATAGATTAAGAGGTAGATGACAGAGCACACGGAGTACAATGTTACTTGGAGAAAGAGGTACTGGGTATATGATGGCTGTTTACTGCATAACTATTTCAATTTTTCTGCATGTTTCAAAGTTTTTATTCTTTTCGAAAAATATATTGTGAAGGAAATAGAGGGAAAGATGAATAAAATCATAAACTTACTAACTTCAATTGGATGACTTGCTGCTCACCATAAAATAGGATTTTACTTTCACAAGAGAGCAAAAACAGTGAACACAGCAATAAGTTTTAATAATGCTTTCTAAAATGAAGAATTTAAGACTTGAAAAAGTATCCATATTTTGTAATTACTTTAGCTTACATTCTATTATGTATAATAGTACATTATGTTTTTATAATTTATGGGGCATCGCATACAAACATGTATTCCTTGTCCTTCTTACTGAGCATGACCAATAAATAACGTAAGAATTCACAGCAAGGGAGCTTGAATGGACATGTTAAACTGGCAGAGCATAATTTCAATGAATCTGATTACTTAATATTTGCCATTCTGCATTATGTGAAAATAATGGCAAAAGCCTTAGAAGTCCTCAAATAATGAGAAAATCTGTGTAAAATATACACACGGTCTCCCGTAAACCGATAAGAAAAAAGATCAAGCTCCCAATAGAAAATCAGATAAAGGGTAAGAGCAAACAACTCAAAGATGGAGTTAAAAAGAGCTGATAAATACATAAGAATTTTAAGTTTCTAAGTTCTCAGAGAAATTAAATGAAATAGCACCTTATACCTTCCAAACTGTCAAAAATTACACCTCCACTTTGAAGGTCACTGTGTCAGGGAAGGACACTCTCCTACACGGCTGTGAGCACACGAACCCTACGACACTTTGACATATAATCTGGCATCATCTATGAAGCTGAGAAATATGCTTAACCTTTTATCCATCAACCCCACTGTTAGACGTTTATTTTAGAGAAATAAAAGCACAACAGCATGACTGTTCAGGATGTTTATCAAAGCAACAAAAATGGGAAATAACCTGAATGTCTAGCAAAGGGAAAATAGCTGAATTAACAATGTTAGATACATATAATAAAATGTAATGCAACTATTAAAAGAATGAGCTTGAGGGCCGGCCGAGTGGCGCGCTGGTTAAGACTTGGCTTGGGACGCCAGCTCTGGGCAGCAGGGCCCCAGGTCGGATCCCACATGAGGGCCAGTGACGCTGCCCTCTACAGCTAAGATGGTGAACAACAGCTTGACCTGGAGCTGGGCTGCTGTGAGGCGATGGCAATGGCGTAGGCTGCAGTGGGGCTGGCCGGCAGCTGGCGTGAGCTTATGTGAGCTGCCGTGAGCCGCCATAAGCGGCTGTCCGATGGCCGGCAAGCGACTGCCTCAGCCATTAAGAGTGCAACGATCACAATACCAACATGGGCTAGTGAAGCGACGTCCTCCACAACTAGACTGAAGAACAAAACGACAGCAACTTGTCTGTTCCCCTTCCCCGATTCCCCAGTGCTTTTCCCTCCCCCAATTCCCCAATAAAATCTTTAGAAAAAAAAAAGAATGAGTTTGAGCTATATGAATTATCCCAGGAAGAAGTCTATGATAAAGCAGCTGGTACAGTATGGTTCCATGTTTGTAAAAATTTTAAACAGAGGAGAAAGTCGTATTTGTTTATATATTAGTATATACAATATATGTATGTATTTGTATAAACATGAGGGTTTTGAAATGAAGGGTTTGAAGGAATCACACTAAACTGTTAACATTAACTCCGGGAGTGGGCTTAAAGGCATGGGGAACCTATGTAACTTGATATTATAACTTGTATTACTTTTGTAATTTAAAAATAATTCTAAAATCCTTTTAAAAGGAGAAAAGAGATTTCAAAAAGTGTAATTACAGACGAGATTGGTGCGTTCAGGATGGTATGGCCATAAAGACTCCACCAAAAAAACTATTAGAAACAACAAACAAATGCAGAAAAGTTTCAGGATACAAAATCAATGTGCAAAAAATCCATTGTGTTCCTATATACTAACAATGAAATTTCAGAAAAAATGAAAAAAAACAATTCCTTTTGCAATTTCAACAAAAATGATAAAATAACTAGGAATAAATGTAACAAAGGATGTGAAGGACTCATTCATACCCTGAAACTACAAGACATTATTAAAAGAAATTGATGAAGACACAAAGAAATGGAAAAATATTCCATGTTCATGGATTGGAAGAATCAACATAGTTAAAATGGCCATGTTACCCAAAGCAATACACAGATTTAATGCAATCCCCATTAAAATCCTGGCTTTTTTTTTTTTTTTT